TAAAAACTGTTCGCTGTGAGATGCTCGCAGCAGCGAACATCCTCCACATCAGAGAGCAGCAAAGTGATCGCGGGGACTCACGCTCGAAAACAACCAAACCAGGACTAAACCCGGACTAAACCAGGACTAAACCAGGACTAAACCAGGGCTAAACCAGGGCTGAGGACGGGGTCAGTGCTTGTAAACATACGTCTTTACTCTGAGTGTCTTCTATGACTGTAAAAGTGCCGTTACCGGCGTCTGCATCAAAGCTCCGCCCACTTCTGTGTTTTTCCCCAACGCAGGACAGGACGTAAGAGACGCACATGTTTGGAATGTTACGAATGTGATTGATAACGCAGATGTGTGGATGCAAATTATTTTATAAACGGAGGAGGGGAAATATTTGTATTTAAAAAAACCAGGCATGGCACATGGACATGGCACCACAGTCAAATGACATCTGTGTTTTACTCAGTAATGTTTTACTGACACTTAGGTGACTGCACATGCGCAAACAACCGCACTCAGTGCAGGAAAGCTAAACCACGACAAACTTGTCAGCGAGTTACCACCAATTTTCCGGACTATGCATCCCTGGCCGATTCAATTCAGTGCAAGTCATCAGAGTAAACTCGGGTAATGACAAAAAATGTACATAGATAATTGTGTTGTGTTGTGCTATATTGGCTCATGCGGTTTTGCATGTACATAAACATACATTGTAGGTATAAAGAATATTTTTTGAAATAAATATATGATTAGCATTTTTGTAGTAGGTAGATCATTTTGACTTGATCCTTTTATAAGTAGCTCGCATGCTGAAAAAGTGTGAGCACCCCTGGTATAGAGAGACCAGAGAGAGAGAGAGCAGAGAGACATCTGAGAGAAAGACCGGAGAGAGACCAGAGAGACCACAGAGAGAGACCAGATAGGGACCAGTTAGAGTCCAAAGAAACGAGAGAGAGAGAAATTAATGCTATAAGTTGTTTAAATCATACATTTATCTCATGCAAATTATGACCTTGCATAATATTCTATCTTTATGTAAATTCCGGCTAAAGAAGGTCACTGCTTAAAGGTCTCAGCACAAACACAATCCACCAAAGATAATGTTTTTTCCGTTCAGCGGCTCTCGTGGACAAACAGTAGCAGGAAACAGTATTACATTGATAACATTTAACAGTCACTTTATAGCTGCGTGCTTTGTCACACAGTGGGAACTCTGAGTAGAGTCGCTGCTACTCGACAACTGAAAAAGAGCCAGGTGGGAGGTGGTCAGATTTCTGGACGCCTCCTTGCAGAGGTGTTCCCATATCAGTAATAAGGTAAGGAATATGTCCTCTGGATTTGACCCATTCTCCAGACGTCAATGCTCGTGGTCAAGACTTGATGTGGACCTATGCTAAACATATCCTGTATACAGATCATACAGATGGATAATGCGAACCCGCTAACTCTAAATGCTAAATGAAACCCATTAGTGACATGGACGGGGTTTTTCTCCCACTCACTCTGGCTCTTACCGACTTATATGTAAAAGTAAACTCCTCTAGCTCAGTAGCCGTTTGTGTCACACTCACCATTTTGAACTTAAAAATCTATGGTTTTGTGCCCTCTGTGATCCTGGTGTTTATATCGTGATATTGTCTTTATAAATCCATAAATGAGAAATAAAGGGTTTGACCAATCAGATTCAGTTATTCAACTCCAGCTTGCCTTAGCAACTGTCTTAGCAACACGCATGTCCCTGTTACAATGCAGAAATGCCTACATAAAAGGAAATTGGCTCCAGCTAGCTTATGTTAAAATCAGCCTCTCCCGCATCTAGGCTAACATTATAGTGATGTCACACTGCGTCAGTACACTTAATGGTTCAATTCCACAACCTTTCTGTGTGGAAAGAAAGAAAGCAATTAAGACTTTTTTTGTCTTTTGCATTTTATTGTTAGTACTAAAATAGACATTTTCACAGAATTGTTGCTGCATTTCAGGTGATTTCACAGAATTTGGTCGCACAGTTGCACACGTACAGTGACATCATCATTACAGTCGTGTCTTTAGGCAGTGACGGCTGGTTCCACATGGTTTTTGGCAGAAAGCACATAAGGTGAAAACATCAAAACATGAGAAAAAATTTGATATTCAGTTCAGGAAAGTGTGGAGCAGAGACCAGCCACAAGATTATGACCATGAGAGATTCAAAACTAGGACCGAATCAGGTTTAAACCAGGACTGAAGCGGGACTAAACCAGAGACCAGAGGAAAAAACAGACCAGAAAGTGTCTAGATCTGTGGTCGGCAACCCGCGGCTCTTTAGTGCCCCTCGAATGGCTCTACAAAAATGTACAGAGGGAGGCGTTTATTTTATTTCTAGTTTTAATGTGCTTTCTGTAGGAGGAAAAACATCTGTTTTCCAATGCTGTAAAAATGTTATACATAATGAATTACCTAATGGATTACATTTCAACATTTCTGTCAACATAGATTTCCATCATAGCCTGGCACTTGCTCAAGCCCCGGCGATCCAAGATGGCGGCATATTCAAATCAATGGCTTGTGCTCAGTAGCGCATTACCACCAAGGGCACCAAAAGATTAGCGGAACTCGCCTATATTTGGTCATTTCTCTAGTCCTCCCGGCTTTGTGCAGAGTTTGTTGCACCAAAGTGTGGATTTAAAGAAACCTGATGGATTTAACAAGATAAAAAGTTCAGGATGACAAGGGGCACTAAAATCCCAACAACATCCGACCTTTATGAAAGATGTAAGTTCTCTGTCAGCTGAGAACGAGCTGTTTTAGTTTACATTGAGTTCTATGGGGAAAAATTCTGGGTAGCCCACCCCACTCTTTATTTACTGCATTTCTACAATTTCATAAGCGCAACAAAATAGAAGTTAAACTTAAAGCGCAAAATATAGTATAGCATTCGTCACGTGGTGCGTCGTTATCTCCGGGACAAGCTGCGGAGAAAAGAAACATTAAGTAATCATGAATGCATGTTGCATTTGTAGCCTTTACCTAGTTATTCTTATTGTGAGCTAGGGCTGGGCGATTAATCGATTTTAATCATTAATTCGAGTTTTACGTTTAGGGCGATTTCTTTTTTTAAAAATTCGATTTTTATTTTCTCCAGCGCAGAACTACAGCGCTAACGCGCTAACCGCGGGTCTATGGTGTTGAGCAGTCATTTTGAAGCTAACCTAATGCTAACAGTCTCCCTCTGGCCTGATGCTCGCTCTCACAGTTGGTGCTGTTGCAATAACACTTCAAACGTTCAAGAATCAGACTTTATTTAATCGCCAAAACACACACACACAGGCTCCGGTCGTACGCCACATCTTTCACGCTCTCTCACGCTCGTTATTCCAAAGCGCACTCCCGTGTCCGTGGCGCGCACACACTCGTGTCCCACTGAGCCGCTGCACTTTGGGGAAAGACACGCCTCACACATTGCTCTCATTGCTCTGATACAAACAACGTGTTCCCCGCTGTCTGTTAGCTACAGTAGCTGCTACAGTAGCTGTTAGCTACAGCATCAGAATGTAAACAGGAAGCTCGCACAATGCGGGAGTCACTGAAGTTAGTATTAGCGCCACCAGCTGGACCAAGCGTTGTACTACAGCACAGTTACTCAGGCACAGTTGAAAGAACAAGCATGAAAACCCGAGGAGGCTTTTGGAAAATACTGTCTGTTACAACATTTCTATTTTGAGTAATCAGTTTTAAAAATGTGATATTTCATGTAAATAATGCATGTGTTTAATAGGATTGATATATTTGCGATGGGCCTTGTTTGTGTGATTTAAGTTATTTTGAAGGTGCATAGTGTCATTGTAAGTGAAGTTATTATAAAACTGTTAAGCTACATTTTCACTGTTTACAATGGCAGAGCCATCTCGTTTACAATCATGTTTTAAGGCTTAATTCCTGTTACACTTATGCTCCATGGGGATTTAGATTAAACTGCATAAAGGAAAATCTATTTCTTTGTCAGTTGTAGTTTGTTTTTAAATAGAAAAAAATAAATCGATTAAAATCGAAAATCGGATTTGGTGTGAAAAAATCGGAGATTTTTTTTTTTTGCCATATCGCCCAGCCCTATTGTGAGCTATAGGGCTGAAACAACTACGACATCGACGACTAATCGATTATTGAAATAGTCGACAACTATTTTAGTAATCGATTAATCGTTTTCTGGTTCACACGGACTCAAACAGAGCAAAAATGACATGAAAATGTAGTATTTTTAATTAAAACCGACTTTGTTTTTATAATTTCATGAATATCTGTCTGTCTTAGATAGCAGAATTAGCACAAAAAGTAAATGTTTGTAACAGGCTCTAAGTTTACGCCATCAATACGTCCTCGAGTGTTGCCACTTTAGCTTTTTGTGATGAAAAAATATTTTTTTTCTACACATTTCACAGCCAAGCGATTACTCGTAAAAATAATCGATAGATTAATTGATTACAAAATAATTGTTAGTTGCAGCTCTAGTGAGCTACTATAGGAAAAATACACTTACAGCCTGTCTCGCCTTCATACAAGCCTTATATAAGGCTCCAGACAGATTTGTTTTTAGTTATTTTGTCAAATATGAGTTGCCGACCCCTGGACTAGCTAGAGCAGAGAAAGAGACCACAGCAAGAGACTAGAGAGATTTCTGTCACATTCTGTCACTTTAGATCAGCTCTTCTTAACAGAAATGTAAGAAAAACAGAAAAGAAAAATAAAGTACCATCCTCACTCAGCAAATCAGTCAAATAGTAACTCACAGGGCTCTTACAGCATACAAAAAGATAACATGTTTTCTGATAAGATGAAGGCAGCATGTTGAGGTCTGATTTGACTTTTCCTGTTGGTCAAACAGATAATTCATGAATTATAAGTTCAGTACCCCAGCTTTATGGCCTGATTCCATCCCTGCTCAACAGGCCAGAACAACACAGTACGTCCCCTTTAAACGTGCTCCCAGTGGTCATAATCAAAGCGGCTGAAACAATGCTGCATACATACGTTTACAGCCCTCCATCGGCGTAACTTAAGGCCATTGCTGAAAGAGAGAGGTTTTATTGTGCATTTTTGTATATTTTTTTAGCATTTTTTTCTTCAAAACAGTCGACACGTGGGTTACGAAAAAACACGTAGAAAAGGCAGCAGCTGGTGTGAGCCATTGCGGTGCCTTTGATCATAAGGAACAGTTGCATTTACTGGCAATAAAAACACTAAGAAGGCAGTATAATGTTAAAACTCTATGGATGCATGTTATGTGTGTGTGTGATGCTGTAAAGATTGGGCCGGTTTCATTGACAAAAATGTGAAGAACTTGTCCCTCTTCCACTGAACTACTTCTGCCGCTCCCTGGAGAAGCATTGGTCCATTTTCCAAAAACAGATATTGAAGTTTAGTCCGGTGCAAAGTGCAAGGTTAAAAAATGGGAATGGATTTTTTAAAATGGGATATAGGCGGGTCGGATGTTTCTCAATCTGAGGCTGCAAAAACAAAACAAACGTATTGTATTTCTGCCTACATTTTAAAAAGTGCTTGAGCATTTGTCTTTGAGTAAAATGTTTCGGACTTTGCTTTGCTTATTTCTTTGACAAATCTCAACGTAAACATACATTCTTACTTCAAGCACTTATTCATAATTTTGGATCATTTTAGTAACCGTCGCCTTCTATTGGTATTCATTATTAAGTCTTGTTTGCTCCTTTTTTGGTCCTCTGTCTGGAATCACATCCGCTAAAAATGTTTTAAACCGGCCCGACCTTTACCACATCGCTCAATGGAAAGTGGAATCGTCGACGGGCGGTTTTCAAAGATATCTTGCTACGTTTGGTCCTCGATGTTTCTTGAATAATAAAAATCTAATGATAAAAACAAGGATAAGGATCTAAGCGTGTTAAGAAGGCACTGAACTAAGGCTGGCGTCCGTGGTGGCGCGTACAAAGGCCGCGTTCAGGGGCCGTTCAGGGTTCGCCGTTTCCGTTGCCGTCTCCTCGTCCTTGAAATACTGGTGCTCCAGCGCGTTCACCGCAGATATCCTCTCGAACGGGTCAAAAGTCAACATTTTCTGTGGACAGAGGAAGAAGACTTTAGAGCTGAAACAACTTAATAGGAAGCAGTTTTATTTATATGTCGCCTTAGTATTTGAGACAATAGGTTACGTTCATGTTGTATTTCAGTATTGAAGCAGGAGCCGATACAACTGTATGGTTAAGAGACTAGAGAGAGAGACCGGAGTGGGAGACCAGAGACACACAAGAGAGACCAGACACACAAGAAAGTGACAAGAGAGAGAGAGAGAGAGAGAGGAATGAGACCAGAGAGAGAGAGAGCAGAGCGAGAGACCAGACACACAAGAGAGTGACAAGAGAGCGAGAGAGGAATGAGACCAGAGAGAGAGCAAAGTGAGACCAGAGCAAGAGACCAAGGAGTAAGACCAGAGACCAGAGACGCACTAGAGAGTGACAAGAGAGAGAGAGGAATGAGACCAGAGAGAGAGAGAGCAGAGTGAGACCAGAGAGAGACCAAGGAGGAAGACCAGAGAGAACAGAGAGAGACCAGAGACACACAAAAGAGTGACAAGAGAGAGGAATGAGACCAGAGAGAGAATGCAGAGGGAGCAGGGAAAGACCAGAGCGAGAGACCAGAGAGGGACCAGAGAAAGAGAGCATGAAACGACATGAAAACCTGCGGCTTGAGTTCAACCATGTTCTGTTTGTGTACAAACATGTAATAACAGGTGCGCTTAAACACCTACAAAGACGTACAAAGCTCTAAACTAAGACTAGAATCCGACTTTTGACTGTTATCATAGTTACTGGGACCGATCTTTCACCTGTCCTCCACCACTAATTGAAACTATTGGCTGTGAGGAATATGGTGGTGTCACATGATCACACATGGAAAACTAGAATTATGAAAATATCGGGCCGACTTTGTGGTGTTAAATATTAGCAGTATGTAGATTAGAAAAACTCTGCCAATCTCTCCGACGTACAGCTTTGAAAGCCTTAAATCTCATTGTACTGAAGGGAACACATTGTTATGCCTTAAAAACTGTGAGGCCAAGTGTGTTGTTGGTGCAAAAAGGGAAGGATTCATACATCCAAGATTATTCACACAGGTGTTGTGTCTGACTCGGAGCTGCAGAGATGGCCTTCAGTTCGGCTACAAATGTGTCGCCTTTTGAAACATTAAAGACCCGGCTCATAGCAACCAAAGAGCCAATCAGGGTTCAGCACCAGATTGGACAACTCTCACTGACCATATCATGATCGACAAAGACAAAAACAGCATTTAACAAGTGGTGCATCTAAAGTCCTTCACAAACAATCTTGGTCTCCCTCTGGGCCCCCTCTCTGGTCGGTCTCTCCCCCCTCTCCGGTCTCTCCCCCCTCTCCAGTCTCTCCCCCCTCTCCAGTCCCCCCCCCCCTCTCCAGTCTCTCCCCCCCCCTCTGGTCAGTCTCTCCCACCTCCCCCCTCTCCGGTCTCTCCCCCCTCTCCGGTCGGTCTCTCCCCCCTCTCTGGTCGGACTCTCCCACCTCCCCCCTCTCCGGTCTCTCCCCCCTCTCCAGTCTCTCCCCCCTCTCCAGTCTCTCCCCCCTCTCTGGTCTCTCCCCCCTCTCTCTCTGGTCTCTCCCCCCTCTCTCTCTGGTCTCTCCCCCCTCTCTCTCTGGTCTCTCCCCCCCTCTCTCTCTGGTCTCTCCCCCCTCTCTCTCTGGTCTCTCCCCCCCTCTCTCTCTGGTCTCTCCCCCCCTCTCTCTCCGGTCTCTCCCCCCTCTCCAGTCTCTTCCCCCCCCTCTGGTCAGTCTCTCCCACCTCCCCCCTCTCCGGTCTCTCCCCCCTCTCCGGTCGGTCTCTCCCCCCTCTCTGGTCGGACTCTCCCACCTCCCCCCTCTCCGGTCTCTCCCCCCTCTCCAGTCTCTCCCCCCTCTCCAGTCTCTCCCCCCTCTCTGGTCGTCTCTCCCCCCTCTCTGGTCGTCTCTCCCACCTCCCCCCTCTCTCTGGTCTCTCCCCCCTCTCTCTCTGGTCTCTCCCCACCTCTCTCTCTGGTCTCTCCCCCCCTCTCTCTCTGGTCTCTCCCCCCCTCTCTCTCTGGTCTCTCCTCCCTCTCTGGGAGTTACCGTAACAAACCTTACACCTGCTATATTTTCATCTTCATATTATCAGTAAATCTCTCACTAGTAAAAGCTGGACGCCGCTGGAGTCGATCTCTGGGACCACATCTGCGATGGGTCGTGAGGGGACCGGCCGGAAGTTTTTCCTGGAGAGAGTGACGTCCGCCGGCCACTGCTCCTCCGAGGGCAGCCCGATCACACTGTAACCATAGTAACAACATTATATTTACTGTTACAGCAGGAGAAATGAAGCTATGTGTTTTACTCACTCAAAGATCTTGTTGAGTTGGTCCACTTCTGAATCTCCACAAAACAAAGGCCTGGGGAAACAAGAACATAGATTTCAGGAGATCATGGGGATGTTTCAGAGGACCAGAAAGAGAGACCAGCGAGAGAGAGACCAGAGAGAGCTGAAAGAGATGGCAAAGAAAGAACAAAGAGAGGAACTAGAAAGAGCCTGTGTGGCACTATTTGACCCTTTGGACTGAGAGCTGATTGATTCTGAGGCCTATTCGGTCTACACACGTCTAAACTGTTCTATACTGATCTAAAGATCGACAGTTTTTCCTTTGTGTCTCTGGCCCCCGTTCAGTTTGAGCCCATGTTCTTCTCTCCACACAAGTGCGTTTGTATTCAGCCTCAGAACACTTTATGTTGAGGTCTCTCAGTCCAGAGGCTTCACAGCTCCCACACGCACAGTGGCTACCCCCAGTGGCCCAGCTTTGTCACTGCAGCGTCGTACAGCATTGGTTTTACAGGGGGCTCTGAGCCACAGGAACAGAGCAGAGAAGGTCCAGGTCAGTGGGGATTTCTCAAAAATGTCTGTCAGTTTCAGAAAGTGAAACCGTTCATATAGAGATGTATTACACATAGTCAACTATTTAAAGCAGAAATAATACGAATTATTTTTGGCCCAAAATTCACAAGGGCTCCAAAGAGAGACCAGGGAGAGAAACTAGTGAGAGATAGACCAGAGAGAGAGAGACCACACTGACATCACACTCAGATGTTTTCTGCCTTTTAAAACAATTGCCTGTAAATGAGATTTGACAATTTCTCAGTTTACAATCCCACATCCTACTCCCTCTGGTGGCAGCTTGGGGTGATACGGGTGGGAAACATACTTTTGTCACCATATATTTTCTACTGAAGACATTTTTTCACAAAGTAAATAGTCTCATAATCATTTTAACGGCAAAAAAATATGTGTATTACAAGCATTTATTCTTATACAATGGAAAACATGGATACTGCTGAGTCTATAAATTGAATGGAAGAATACGTAAATTCTTCAATCAGTAAACACTATGTGAAAGAGAGAATTTGTGTTGGACTCACTTTCTCCTGAACATCTCGGCGAAGATGCAGCCAGTGCTCCACACGTCGACAGGAGAGGCATAACTGGACTGGAGCAGGACCTCAGGCGGGCGGTACCACAGCGTCACCACCTGCACCACAACATGAGATCAGATCAACATATGAACGGAGCACTGCCGTGGCTGAATGGAAAACACTCCGCACTCGCTCCTAAGCTAGAGGGTCCTGGGCTCAAATCGCTCATTCCCTCCATGTCTGTGTAGGTTTTACCAGATGCAGTAAATCAGCTCTCAGACTCACAAAGCTCTTTCTTGCACAAAAAATAACATGTTTTCTAATGAGGTGAAGACAGCATGCTGTGGTCTGAACATTTGTTAGTGAGGGAGAAAAGTTAAGAACCCCAGCTTTAAGCTGGTTATAGCGTCCTACTATTTCCTCTTTGTATTCTGGGCACATTTAAAACGTCTGCCATTCAGACAGTTCAGAGCAGTCCGCACCACTGGGGTCAGGGCCATGTGGCAGCTGTAGATCCGGGCCAGTCCAAAGTCAGCCAGTTTGATCTGACCCTGACTGGTGACCAGGATGTTCTCGGGCTTCAGGTCTCGGTGGATCACGCAGTTGGAGTGGAGGAAGACGAGGCCACAGAGCAGCTGCCGCATCATGTCCTGGAGGAAGAGGAGATAGACGTAGGACAGTCACTCTCAACCTACAGGAGACATCCAGCTCATCATCAAAATAAAGAGATCATTTTAAAAAAAACAATTCAATAATTTTGATTATGTAAATAAATAACTATCCTTCTAAAACTGCAGTCACAGGCGTTTATTATCTGGTTTCCATGGTTACAGTAGTCTAAACCTTACTTTGATGCGCTCTGGAGACAGGCCAGCAGGGGGCGCCTTCTCCAGGTAAGTCTTCAGGTCTTGGTCCACATGTTCAAACACTAAGGTGACTTTTGTCTCTTGGTCCGATCTCTGCGTTGCACAGACGTCTCTAAGTCTGAAGAAAAAGCACAGTTTCGTCATACTGGGTTTCCTGCTTCAGCCTCATGTGAAAACAAAACAACAATGACACACAAGCAGAAGGAGCGAAAGGCGTCAAAAACCAAAGACTGTACATGAGGAGTGGACTGACCTAGGGTGACCTCACCATAGTGTTCGCCTTAACGCAGAAAAGGCCGATTTGAACATACCGACGTGTTTTTGTTTAGGAAAAATTGAGTTTCCCTTCCCTTTTCTATTGGGCTTCATTGAGCTAGCGGGTTAACACAGTAGAAATGGTTTGATCCAGTTACAATAAACAATTCACGCCTCGATCCCACAGCACAGCTTTACATACAGTGCCTTGCGAAAGTATTCGGCCCCCTTGAACCTTTCAACATTTCGCCATATTTCAGTCTTCAAACATAAAGATAAAAAATTTTAATTTTTTGTCATGAATCAACAACAAGTGGGACACAATTGTGAAGTGAAATGAAATTTGCTGGATAATTTAAACTTTTTTAACAAATAAACTGAAAAGAGGGGCGTGCAATATTATTCGGCCCCTTTACTTTCAGTGCAGCAAACTCACTCCAGAAGTTCAGTGAGGATCTTTGAATGATCCAATGTTGTCCTAAATGACTGATGATGATAAATAGAATGCACCTGTGTGTAATCAAGTCTCCGTATAAATGCACCTGCTCTTTGATAGTCTCAGGGTTCTGTTTAAAGCGCAGAGAGAACCATGAAGACAAAGGAACACACCAGGCAGGTCCGAGATACTGTTGTGGAGAAGTTTAAAGCCGGATTTGGATACAAAAAGATTTCCCAAGCTTTAAACATCGCAAGGAGCACTGTGCAAGCAATTATATTGAAGTGGAAGGAGTATCAGACCACTGCAAATCTACCAAGACCCGGCCGTCCCTCCAAACTTTCATCTCAAACAAGGAGAAGACTGATCAGAGATGCAGCCAAGAGGCCCATGATCGCTCTGGATGAACGGCAGATAACTACAGCTGAGGTGGGGATGGTGTGTTCAGGGTGATGAGCTGTGTTGCTTTTACACCAAACATATTGTTTTGCATTGTGGCCAAAAAGTTCGATTTTGGTTTCATCTGACTAGAGCACCTTCTGCCACATGTTTGGTGTGTCTCCCAGGTGGCTGGTGGCAAACTTTAAGAGACTTTTTATGGATATATTTGAGAAATGGCTTTCTTCTTTCCACTCTTCCATAAAAGGCCAGATTTGTGCAGTGCACGACTGATTGTTGTCCTATGGACAGACTCTCCCACCTCAGCTGTAGTTATCTGCAGTTCATCCAGAGTGATCATGGGCCTCTTGGCTGCATCTCTGATCAGTCTTCTCCTTGTTTGAGATGAAAGTTTGGAGGGATGGCCGGGTCTTGGTAGATTTGCAATGGTCTGATGGTCTGATGTTTAAAGCTTGGGAAATCTTTTTGTATCCAAATCCGGCTTTAAACTTCTCCACAACAGTATCTCGGACCTGCCTGGTGTGTTCCTTTGTCTTCATGGTTCTCTCTGCGCTTTAAACAGAACCCTGAGACTATCAAAGAGCAGGTGCATTTATACGGAGACTTGATTACACACAGGTGCATTCTATTTATCATCATCAGTCATTTAGGACAACATTGGATCATTCAAAGATCCTCACTGAACTTCTGGAGTGAGTTTGCTGCACTGAAAGTAAAGGGGCCGAATAATATTGCACGCCCCACTTTTCAGTTTTTTATTTGTTAAAAAAAGTTTAAATCATCCAATACATTTCGTTCCACTTCATGATTGTGTCCCACTTGTTGTTGATTCATGACAAAAAATTTAAAAATTTTATCTTTATGTTTGAAGACTGAAATGTGGCGAAATGTTGAAAGGTTCAAGGGGGCCGAATACTTTCGCAAGGCACTGTAAGTCTTGAACAGTACGAGGACCGTGAATTGGACGAGGCAATCGTGCCTTGCCCTCTCCAGGTGCAGAGTCCTTCCTAAAGTGGAGGATTTCAAGTATCTCATGTCTTGTTCTCAGTGAGTGACTGTTGTGGTGAAGAGGGAGCAGCCCTCACCTCCCATGAGCTTGCTTTGGGTAATGACGAGGTCGCGGATACAAGCGCTCAAAATTATTTTTCTCTGCAGAGTGGCCTTAGAGATGGGGTGAGGAGCTCAGTCAACAGGAAAAGCTTGGAGCTGGCCTGGGAACGTCTCAGAATTCCCCCAGATGAGCTGGAGGAAGTGCGTGTGGAGACAGAACTCTGGGTGACTCTGCATAGACAGCTGCCCCCGCGGCCCAGCAACAGATTAAGCGGATGAAAATGGATGACTGTCAACGTGCTTTGTAGCGTTCGCATTGGGGGTGGTGGCGTTTTACCTGACAATGTTCGGGTGGTCGAACTGCTCCAGCCGCCGCAGCAGCGCCACCTCCCTGACGGTGGAGATGGGCAGTCCATTCTGGTCCGTCTGCACGCGAACGCTCTTCAGGGCCACAAACTCGCCGCTCTCTGTGTCGCGCGCCTTGTACACTGTGCCGTACGCGCCCCCGCCGATCTCTGCCACGGGCTCATAGTGCAGGCTGGAGCTCATGACTGCAGCCGCCGAAGGCCTGAGTGGAGAGTAAAGAAGAACGGGCCAGAATTCAGCATGTGGTGAGATGGAGACAGACAGGAAACAGCTAAAGTAATAGGCAAAATTCAAACACAACAGGTCTTTTATCTGACCCCTATTCAAGACGGTGTGTTATCATGTTCTATAAAATTGTGTTGTACAGGTTTTGAAATACACAAGATTGTGTTTTTGGGCCAAAATAAAACATGCACATAGTAATCGGGAGCTCCGTGGATCTGAGAGTGGGTGAAAACACATTCATAATAGTTGCTCTTTAAATCTTCATGAGGATAGAAGAACACATGAAATCCCTGTGTAGTTGTAGTGCCGTAACGGGTTGCCACGGCGACAGGCTCAGGGTACGGATCCGTGGTCATTACTGTCTGTTTTCTGGCACAATCTCGGCTGCATGAATTGAATATTTGAGTTTGAACCGAGTGACCGGCGCTCGTTACGAAATGAGTGGAGGAGACTGTAGGAGCTGTGATCAGCCAGAGCGGAAAGACAGAGACAGAGATGGGAAAGACAGAGATAGGAGCAGAGAGAGATTGGAGCAGAGAGAGAAAGACTGGAGCAGAGAGGGAAAGACTGGAGCAGAGAGAGACTGCATCTAAAGTGTTCTAACTGACAGAGATTGGCCAGAGTTCGGCTAAAAACCATGGTTAGCAAAAATCTCTGGTTTACTGGTTTGTTTTGTTGCGTTGTAGGTTGCCAGGATACGGTACCTGACACTACTAAAGTGTACAGATAGATGGATAGAACCAAGGCCAAGAGAGACTAAATAAGGAACCAGTTAAACAGGGCAGGTGGAACCGCTCCCAATTAGGGGAGGGTAGAGCAAAGTGGAAACAGGGTTATGTTATAATTTGTCATTCAGCCAACTTCAGCTCTGTCAAATGTGAATCAATATGGATGTGATGTTATGCCTCCTTTTAAAGCTCAGAACAGCATCAAACCAGTCAGAACAACTTTTAAAATCTGCGTTGTCAGCCCCTGGACTAAAGTTGCCCCTCTTAAAGGCCCTCTCATCTGAGCCTTTAATACAGATTGTAGAGTGGTAGAAAGTTGGCGTCAGACTTGTGACCAGCTGCGTCTCCATCTGGGCCTCCGGCAAAAACCACGAAACTCATGGAGGTTTCTGAGAGAACGCCAAGCACAATGAGAAACAAACTCAGAGCCCGAGACTGAAACGAAGCCGCTGTGGAGGTGTGAACGACCGAACTGCAAAAACAAGACGACAGACGGACGCCGAACGCTACTGAAACTAGCGCTGCAGAAGCAGATGACATTCAGAGTCTGACCTTTGATGGAAGATAACGCGACTCAGACAGAACTGGACAGACTTTCAGAAGGCGTCGACGAAGTGAGACTATTGTTTTAAATGTTAGCATCATGCAGGCGTCAAACTCCTCATCTTCAGACTCTATCACTAACAATACTAACAACTACTAGAATTGTGTAGTACTTTCTCCAGTCGCAGCTTCATCAGGGAAAGACTGGCTGCTGTATTGAACTGTTGTGTGAAGAAGGAGCAGCGTCTGCAGAAGGACTACTCTACAGCAGGCATGGTAGCTGAGTGGTTAGCTTTCACTTCTCTGCCCTTTCTTTCAGAGTCTTACTCCTCCTCATTCACTAAACCAGACTTTCTACACATTTTAAAACCTGTTTACTGCACAATATAATCTTTATGAAGCCAAACTGAAGCGGCCTCTGTCTAATCTGTCCGACATGCAACCATTTGAAGCATCTCAGCTGCTGTGACCTCTCCTGCTCCACCTCTGCTGCTGCGACCTCTCCTGCTCCACCTCTGTGAACTCTCCTGCTCCACCTTAGCTGCTGTGACCTCTCCTGCTCCACCTCTGCTGCTGCGACCTCTCCTGCTCCACCTCTGCTGCTGCGACCTCTCCTGCTCCACCTCTGCTGCTGCGACCTCTCCTGCTCCACCTCTGTGAACTCTCCTGCTCCACCTCTGCTGCTGCGACCTCTCCTGCTCCACCTCTGCTGCTGCGACCTCTCCTGCTCCACCTCTGTGACCTCTCCTGCTCCACCTCTGCTGCTGTGACCTCTCCTGCTCCACCTCTGCTGCTGTGACCTCTCCTGCTTCACCTCTGATGCTGTGACCTCTCCTGCTCCACCTTAGCTGCTGTGACCTAACCTGCTCCACCTTAGCTGCTGTGACCTCTCCTGCTCCACCTCTGATGCTGTGACCAGAAGTGCTGTTGCATTTTATCATTTCTATTATTAGCCTTTTAATTATTTGTTTTGTTTGCGTGGATGGATGTGTTTTTGCTGCTCCTGGACACCTGAATTTCTCCTACACATCATTATAACAGCATAATTAGTGTACGAACTGTGCCATACAAATAAACAGGTTATTTGCATGACAATTCATACACAAGGTAACTCACAGTGCAGAATTAAACAAGAACAAATATTGAAGTTAGACAACGTATCAAAATCATACTACATTAAAAAAAAGTTTAGATTAGCTGCATAAATCTGAAACGCATGACAAACACAGACTCTGGGCACCAGCAGGAGGCCAGTCCCTGTGCTCCTCAGCGTCAGAGTCAGTTCTTATACCAACCTTAGAGCCATCATAACTACCGTCATCTTGTGTGTGCCTCTGTCTGCATTTAAAGACATTAGTCTTTGATCTAAAAATATTGTTGAAACAATAATTTAACAAACCAATTGATTTAATGCACAATCCAAAAGCATGAACATTAGTGGAACTGGACTTTTTTTTATTTTTATAGAATGTGGGTTAGTGACTAAGCCCTTTGACTGGCGAAAGCAAAAAATGCCAAGAATGTCGCAACTTTCTAATAAAGCCGAACCGCTGCAGCCGCTGTAAACATTGGATTCGGATGCGCTGCTCTTGGGAATCCTGTCATTAACGTTCTGTGCAGATAATTGTGCAGTGGGAAACTCTGAGCCGGGCTGCACTAAAACACATGTCATCACAATCATTCACACAAACTCAGAGAATGTGATGTTAATGTTTACGAAAAAGGAATTTGGTTCAGTGCATTGTAGTCAGCGGCTGCAGCAGGGGCGGAGCTGAGGGCAGGACTCCAGGGGCCAATCGAGGGGGGGCACGTCTGTATCTCACATAAAAATAATAAATCACTAATAACATGTACTATTGGTATGAGGGGAAACGACAGAATGGATGAGGTACGAGGGTTTCAGCGTCTCACTTCTGTCATCTTTATTGAAATGAGTCCTCTGCATTGGACTCGTCCAATGCCACTAGGGCCCCTGTGTGGAGCACTGGTTTCTGGAGAATTCCCACAACCTGCACCATGTGCCGAATCCCAGGATCGAACAAGGAACCTTTAGATCTTCAGTCTAACGCTGTCCCAACTGAGCTATTTTAGTATATTTCTTTGTAGAGATTGGCTGAAAACTGGAGCGCCAGGAGGAAAGCCAGCAAGGCACGAGCCAACACACAACCAAGTCCAAGTAATTCATATTCAAAAGGAAGGGTTTCAATTTCAGACAGAAATTCACAAGTAATATAAAAAACTGCATATGATTTATGTTTGAGGGACTCTCCAGAACCTGCTACATCATTCATCTCATATGATAAATAGAGTAAAATTGATCAAAAACAAAAACAAATCCACAAGAAGTTTGGGGCCTCTGCGCATTGGCTCAAACTCGCACCATGGACGTCCCAAACATTAGCAGAAGTGACACATACTGACAAGCTCAGGTTCGCCCGGTCTTGTGCAGTGGTTTTACTTCCGCAGGACCAGAAAGACATGCTTTCTGACCAATCAGATCAGAGCGAGAACGGGACAAGTTTGTGGCACTAAAGCGTGGATTTGTAGAAAACCAATGTTTAAAAAAATTCTAAAAATACACATGAGAAGTGACTAAAATCTGAAAAGAATCTTCCGTTGTGAAAGCTGCAGGTTTCCTGTCAGCTGAGGACGAGCCGTTTCTGTGAACACTGAGGTCTATGGGAAAATCTAACAGTCAAAGACATGATTTCAACGACAGTCCCATCATCGTATCATACATCCATGACTAAATCTTGTCTCATTTAGTGCTTCATCCAACCCCTTTTCCAAAACATGTACGTACATCTATGTCTGGTATATTGTATTTGATTTACTTCAGGAATGCAAAGTCGAACTATGAGACCACACATTTATCTTGTTGGATGAATGTTCAAACTGTCAGATAACCACTTTTCTATAATACATGGGTTTTACAGTGTGTTTCTGGACACTCAAATACAACTACTGTAGCTACAGCTGCCCTGGGACAGAAGGACAGAAACAAGGCAACCAGTATGTGCCATTGGCCTCTACGACCTCAACCGATCACTCATGCACACGCCAGACTCATTTTAGGTTGTGTCTTTGCTTAAGGACAAAAACTACAGTTTGGCACTTTGCAACCACTCCTATGTCTCCCATCACAGGGCTGACCAGACCCTCCCCTGCTGAGCTTTGGAGGTCTGACAAGTTCTGGCTTTCACTTGCAGGTCCACACTTCTCCTCAGTTCCCACAAGTCTCTAGTGGGATAATAGCCTTTGCATTTGATGACATCACAAGTGGAACATTTGTGGAACTCAGCATTACTTCCTGCTCACTTCTCAATAGTTTCTCCAGCTTCGTGACTGCAGGAGTTCGCTGAGGCTCGTGTGACGCGGCGGAACACGCTTCTGTTCCAAAACGTCAAACCACGCGCTGTGGCTGTGATCTCCAGGCCTGCCGCTTTCCGGACACCCCCCTCGTGGCCTCACAGGAAGTAGCGCGAGACCAAAGACCTCCGCGAGCGCCCGAACTACAGCACGCATCCACGCACAGGGGCCACTTTTACGCACGCGAACGCAGGCCGAGAAAACTCCACTTTTCTCGTTTACCCAGTAGAAATGTGTCCACAGGAGGGCGAAGCGTGGGGGGACCACACAGGCCACACACACACACACGAACACGCACACACAAGCGCGCACACACACAGAGCGCAGCGACACGTGGTCCTCCTCCATAGCCTCCTTTGTTAATTAAACTAGTGCAAAAAGTGGATCAAGCGACGCACGCGAAAACGCACGCGGAGCTTCGCCTTTCGGATGCGTCTGGTCGTTGGTGCAGAACGCGTCGGAACCACGTTACTTTCGCGAAGCATTTCTCTTGTAATTCAAAGTTTTAGGATGCGTGAAGGCGTACAGGCTGCTGCTGCTGTGAAGAGAGACTCACCTCTGGAGCGGTGCGGGAGAGAAGTTTATGGAAAACGCATGCTGACGGGAAATGCCACGTAATGGGTGGGGGAACACGCGCGGTCTGGAGCACTGCTGGGGGTCCGGACCTGGTTCTGGCTACGTGGATTAGGATGCAGCGCGTCGGAACGGGCTGCACAACACTTTAGTCGCCTTGATCGCAGTGTTTTGGGCTCGGCGTCGCTTCCTGTTGCTCTTGCAGAGGCTGGCGCTGGGCGGTGCTTAGAGCGCACGATGTAATAGGCTATAAAGGCTTTATTATTTAGGCCAAGTCACATCACACCAGGGTTCATCTGATCCTACTTTAAACTTACTCTTAGATATATACATGAAGGAAGGGAAATTCTCACCGAATGAGTCTTGTAAAAGTAAAGTGTTATGAACAAACCAGACCGTGCGTGAAAGAAAGAGCCTTGTGAGTCACTATTTGACGTCGAAGGCCGATTGGCGAGTGAGGAGGGTCCTGTCTCTGTCACTTTTCTGTCTGGAACAGCTAAAGATGTGACAGAGGTCTCTCTGGTCTCTCTCTGCTCTCTCTTGTAAAATCCTCAACCTCATTTTTGTTAAAATCATAACTGATACAGTGCCTTTCACAAGGTTTAATACAGCTTGAACTTTTGCACATTTTGTCAGGTTTACAACTATAGAAATAAATAATGTATTTTGTTTTCATTACTGAAAGTTCACACAAGGAACAGACAACAGTGAAGTGTATTCATACAGCATTGAATTACTACTTTGTGGATCCCCTTTTGCTGCAATAACAGCAGAACATCTTTTGGAGTATGACTGTACAAGATTTGCACATCTCGTAACAGGAAATGTAGCCCATTCCCCTTTACAAAACATGCATTTGGGTCTAGACATTGACTGGACCTTTCTAACACATGGATGTGTTTTGTTTAGAAACATTCCATTGTTGATTGAGGTTCATGGTTCAGAACGGATCAGAGTCACGGATCAAACCATTTTTTGGATTTGTGTATTAACACTTTCAATTTATTGAATTAAAATCAGAATAAAGAGAATAACAATAAACGCTTGCTTACTTGCACAACTTCTGTCCGCGGCTCACGCGTGTGCAAAACCGAAGCTATTTATCCAAACGGATCACTGATGAATGATGATCCATTGCACCACTAGAGAGAATTTTGACTAGGGCGAGCTTCAATTCTGTTGCTGACTGGTTTTCCTCCAAAATGTCCCTGTATTTGGCTCCATCCATCTGCCCAGCTATTCTTTCAATCTTCCCAGTCCCTGCAGAAGAAAAGCAGCCCCTTATCATGAGAGCACAAGAAGAGCACTGGTCTGCTGCAGGAAATGTTCTGCACAAAAGGATAATTTATTACATGAGAGGAAGCGACTGGTGCTGACAGGGGAAGGTTAACAATGTCAACTTTTTTCGTATAGCACATTTACAAGAGCTGCCCAAAGTGCTTCACATGTGCAAAAGAAAATATGAGTAAACTGGGCGGCACGGTGGCTGAGTGGATAGCACTCTCGCCTCTCAGCAAGGAGGTCCTGGGTTCGAATCCCGGCCGGACCAGGGCCTTTCTGAGTGGAGTTTGCATGTTCTCCCCGTGTCTGCGTAGGTTTCCTCCGGGTGCTCCGGTTTCCCCTACCACTAAAAATATGTACAATAGGTATGGCATGTGCCTCCTGTACTGGCGACCCCACTCCCAACAATTGTAAACCGCTTTGAGACTCCGATGTGCAGTGAAAAGGCGGTATATAAATAAAAGCTTACTTACTGCTTACTTACTATCCATACTGCTCCCAGCAAGCTGCACATGTAGACCTCTGCTCCTCTCTCTTTATCAGCGGTGTCTGTTCATTGCTATACGCCTGCTGTCTCATTGTCTGTTTCATGGTTTGATGATGAGACCCCTGATGAACCCATCCTCTTTGACCTGCACTTGTGAGTTGTGAGCTCCCTCAGTCCTGGATCTACAGCCTCAGTCCTGGTTCTACAGCTCCATTCCTGGAGCTACAGCCTGTTCGTGTGTGGGAGAGGAACAGTTATTATGTGTGATAGGATGAATTAGACCTAAAACTGTAGAAATGTAACACAGTGCAAAAGGGCTACATGTTCTACACGATCCAGACGTTATGAAGAGCAACCATGTACATAATAAGTCAAACTAAAAGACGACAGATGAGTGTCAAATACACCGGACACGTTTGGCTTTGAGGACAGTGCAGTGAGTGAATGAATGATAGAAGCACTGAAAAGATAAGCCACGTTTGAAGTTTGCGCTGACGCTGCAGTTTTATCTGATTGTGACAGCAACAAAACAATAAGAGAGAGAACCTTTGTTTGTGTCGCAGAGACGCAAAACAGAGTAACAATAACAATTAAAGCCGCAAGCGGCGATGAAAGCCTTTGCCACTCTCGTAGCCGCCTCCCGGACGCCAGTCCCATAAGCAGCATGCAGTGTACTTGCCGATAAATTTGGAGCCTAATAGGACCAGAATGTGCACGGAAAAGTTCATCAATAGGATTCAGTGCGCCCCTAGTGGTCACCTGTGGGACATGCACCCTCTGCGTAATGTAGTATTTTCCTCAAAGGGATGTGAAGAAGATGACATAGTCTGGGATCGCGTCTTTAATTCAGACAGAAGACATGTTTTATTGTCGATGGTAGAGACAGCACGAACAAAGCACACGATCACAGATACAACAGAATGCAAGTGTATTATACAGAGCGGAGGCATGGAGACCTCCAATCAGCAGCTGCCACGGTGTGCTTGTAGCTTGGCCTTCAGATAGACACAACAAGGGAAAAGTACTGGCTTCTGCACATTGATAGAATGATGAGTTTAACTTTAACAAAAGTTGCTTCAAAGTGTTATGAAATCTCACATTCCCCCCTCTGGTCATACATTCACGTGTGACCATCAGGATCGATAAACAGCAACATAACATAATAACTCAATACTTCAAAACTCATAAACTCTGTACTTCACTCGGTACCTCAAAAAACTCAGAACTCGGAATACTTCAAAAACTCATAAAACATGTTCAGATCTTTCATAAAACTTGTCAACAATCTTCAGTAAAATACCAAACTTCATCAGTCGATGGTTCCAGATATTGCTTTGAAAACAGTCTCTCCCACTTCTCCGTGTTGGTTTCTTCAGGCTGCATTTGTGTCGAGCCATGAATTCTTCTGTGACGTGTCTTTCAATCACACGTTTCAGCTTTAGTGTCCAGATTCAGAAATCCAATTCAGTCCAAATTATGTCCAAATTCAGAAATCCAGATTGTTCCAAATGATGTCCAAATTGTGTAATCCAATTTTTCCAAATCATGTCCATGTAAAAGAGGACGATGGTGTTGTCCATGTCTCAGCAGCTCACAGCCAGACTGGAATCAGGGGCTGTGCAGATAGTCCAAGTGTGCTGGTCCAGATGCATGGTTTCTCTTGAGGTTTCTCAGTTTTGGCTTAAAAAAAAAACACTTTTTGTGTAAAAAAAAAAAGTCTTCTGTTCTCTAGATGTTACAGACAAGGCCCACATCCTCCACCACCTGAAGAAGATGACATAGTCTGGGATCGCGTCTTTCATTCAGACAGAAGACATGTTTTATTGTCGATGGTAGAGACAGCACGATCAAAGCACACGATCACAGATACAACAGAATGCAAGTGTATTATACAGAGCGGAGGCATGGAGACCTCCAATCAGCAGCTGCCACGGTGTGCTTGTAGCTTGGCCTTCAGATAGACACAACAAGGGAAAAGTACTGGCTTCTGCACATTGATAGAATGATGAGTTTAACTTTAACAAAAGTTGCTTCAAAGTGTTATGAAATCTCATAGATGTAAAGATAAGACAGCAACTTTGGTGAGGATCGGAAAAGTTTAGGTCGGAAGCCTCCCAGTGGTCAGGTGTGGGACTTTTACGTAATATAATGATTTGCTTATCTCGGTTCAGAGATTACACTCAGTAATTTTGGGACGGAGTCAATATTTAGTCATATTGGGTGTATGATTTTAGTTTCCAAAACCTAAGATTAGTCATGTGAGTCTCAGCTCTAGGTCTGAGCCTGTGGCCCTGAGGGCTCAGCCAAAATACCAAAAACGAAGGCCTATTCCACCATGCAAATGCATTTCTAACTTTTTTCAAGGGACTATAATTATTTAATCTGTCCAGATTGGGAAATGACATGGAAGAAGTCTGTGTGAAGAAAAACCAAGGACGTGTACAAATCCAAAAATGAAAAGTCAAATTGACGGTGAAACTTCAGAGATCTATCACTGATCTGAATTTTGTGTACCTACTCCAAAATATGCATGTCTGGCTCCCAGAGGCTTTGCAAATTTGAATTTTCCAGGGGGCGATATAGAGTTGGTGTGCGTTGGACAGACTTGTTAGTGGAAAAAAAAGAATGATATGAAACCAACGAATAACAATAGCCCTCTCCAATACTACGTTTTGGCTCGGGCTAAATATAATAAGATTAGGCAAGGCAAGGCAAGTTTATTTGTATAGCACAATTCATACACGAGGCAATTCAAAGTGCTGAACAAAACAAGAAAGCATTAAAATCATAAATAATCACAGTACATTAAAAAGAAAGATAAAAATATAAAATCCCTCAGTTGTATGCACAGCTAAACAGAACTGTCTTTAACCTGGTTTTAAACATTGTCAGAGAGGAGGCCTGTCTCACATCTTCAGGAAGATTGTTCCAGATTTTAGCAGCATGAATCTGAAAAGCAGCCTCCCCATGTTTAGTCCTGACTCTGGGCACTAACAGGAGTCCAGTCCCTGTGCTCCTCAGAGTCCGGGCTGGTTCATATGGGACTAACATGTCACTAATATATTTTGGTGCGAGGCCATGGAGAGACTTGTACACAAGCAGAGCTGTTTTAAAGTCTATTGTCTGAGCCACAGGAAGCCAGTGCAGAGACCTGAGAACTGGACTAATATGGTCGTACTTCCTGGTTCTAGTCAGGACTCGAGCTGCTGCATTTTGAATGTACTGCAGCTGTTTTACAGCCTGTTTGGACAGACCTGTGAGCAGGCCATTGCAGTAGTCTAACCTACTGGAGACAAATGCATGGATAAGAATCTCCAAGTCTGCTTTAGACACTATGTTTTTGATCCTGGCAATGTTTTTTAGATGGTAAAAAGCTACTGATGTTACTGATTTAATGTGGCTATTAGATTAAGATTATGAGATCCTTTATTCGTCCCACAGCGGGGAAATTTCAGTGTTGCATCACAAGTTACAGAATAGGAGAACTCAGCACAAGATTAGTGAACAATGGCTACACTTATTAAATTAAAACAAAATCTCTAACTCTAGCATCAAATAACAAGTGACTCCCCGCCCCGCGTGACTCCCTGTGCACACATACAATCTGTGAGTGTGTCCATATATACACAGTCTCCATTGGATGACCATGTGACGCACCATCTTCCTAAAGCCCTGATGGGAGCGACACTGTGTATTTTGAATGTCTATGATCAATGATTGTGTGTCTCTATTAAAAACTAAACCTCATTCTTCCCATGTAACACCGGACTCAGTCTATAGCAAATCAGACTTTGCATGTGCAAACATTGGTCATTTATTTTGAATAATAGCGCCCCCTACAAATATTTATTTTTACTCTAATACTAAGAACACGTAATAAAAGATGCTCAGTGGGTCAAATATGAGATCAAACAACAGAAAAACTAAATGCGCTGTGTCCCCATGTAGAAGTTTTACTCAGCCTGTAGGGGGCGCTAACGCTGCATTTGAATGTTTTACACTTTCAGTTTACCCAAACCCAAAAGTTGAACAACCATTCAAATTTGGTGCAAATCAGACTTGGTTTGTGCAAAAGGGAGCTATGTTTCTATCTTCAAAATGGGGAAAAAAGGTCACATTTTGGTACAAATTACATTTCATACTAAGGATTTGCTCCATTGAGCTCCGTGAACAGGTGGGAGGGGCTAACTCCTTTTGCAGATTGAAATGATTGGATCTGAGTTTACCGTGACGTATGTAATGCAAGTCTGTTGTTAGCATTTAGCCTAGCCATCTCCTTTGCTGCTAACGGAGCCCGTGGGGAGTAGAGCCACAATCTTGACCAGCGATTACATTTGCCTAACATTTCTCTTGCTCCGGCTTCAATTTCATGATAGAACCAGACCGGATTACTTTACTATCGCATTCTTCGCCACTGCCAAACCACAACCTGCCCGTTTGGCGCACACTCTTCACGTCACCGGCACCGACCTACAACGCGCTCTCTGATTAACCGGTCGAAATTCAGCCGATTGTAATCGCTAAGATGGGGAGCTGACTCAGACGTTACATGCAGTGAAATGATGATTGAGCGGAGTGAACGGATGGCTAAGGACAGGCTAGTGGTAATGTGCTCCCTTCTGTTAAAACCTGTGAGAACAATATAATGATAAAGAGCTGAGGGTTTAAAGTTATACGTGGGAATAGAACCTTATGTAAAAGTCCCTAGAAGTACGCTTAGGAAGGAGCAGACTAAAACAGATGGACAATGCTAACATCATGTCCGGTGGGGAAAAAACCTATTTAAATCAGCCACCAACTGTGCAAGTCCTCCCACTAGAACTATGAGAGGAAAAAAAGAAAAGAAATCCAAAAAAATCCCATGGTCTGATTTTGTATTCATTTATATGCACATTATCATGCAGAATAAGTATTTAACGAACAGAAAAAGTCCTGTTGAATACTTTAATGTATACCCTTTGTTTTTAAAGGTTTTCAATCACTGTTGCTGGTATTTTGGCCCATTCCTCCATGCAGATCTGGCCTAGTGCAGTGATGTTCTTGGGGTGTTGCAGCCCAAAGCATGATGTTTCCACCCCCATACCTTCACAGTAGGCATGGTGTTCTTTGGATGCAGAGACTGTGAAGCATGGGGGTGGGAGCATCAGGCTTTGTGATCTCGTCTCATGTTGTGGTCTCATCTCTCATAAATTAACAAAACCATTTCTGATAATGTCTCTTATGTTTGTGCGTGTGGAGAGGGAAGTATGGGTGCCTCTGCTCAGACTGCTGCCCCGCAAAACCCAGCCAGGGATAAAGCGGAAGAAAATGGTTGGATGTACGTGGTCGTGTAAGTCCATGATGTATTTCTCTCTGTTTGGCGGTCGGACTAGGACCAGAGGATATCGAGTATTGGTCTCCTGATTATAATCGCCATCACACTCAGCTTTTGGCAAAAACACGAGTGACACTAGCACGTGGTGTTGACGTCACGCGTCTCTCATCAGCACCATGGACAGCAGCAGCAGGAGCAGCAGGGACGGACAGACGCACTGCACACACTCGCCTCTCATCCATCCCTTATTCATCACTGCATCTCCCGGAGACAAGAGGCGAAACCTGCAAGTAATCTTCCCGTTCTAACGCTCTACAACAGCAACAACCGCCGCATTCACCCAAGGATTATTCTGATCTCGGAGCGGACAAAATACATGCGATGCTTCTTTGACAACTGGGAATCCCACTATAGGGCTCCATCATCGTGCGATCTGTTTAATCGGGGATTTTTTGGAGCTGTTTGAGGAGCTGTGGCGTGCGTAAAGCGACGCGATGGTCCCAGCTAGACAACAAAGGGGCATTTTGGCACGCTGTCATTTTCTCTAAACGAGCAAACTCACACCCTCTCGGCGACTGCGCTCCGAGGAACGCGTTGGACCTGGATCAGTTTGACTCTGCATTGCTCTGCATCAGCCCTACACTGTGTCATATGCACGGACTGTCGGTGTGGGGAATGGATAGGTCGTATTTGGATGCTTACGTTTGCTTACTTTGAAGGCTCAGAGTCCATTCTAGTCGAGAAGAGACGCCTTGAGAAGAGCGCGCTCCCATTGGCTGCGCGGTGGTGCACATGCTGTAACAACAGGATATGCAAAGGACTACGGAGCCTATCACGAGGGGCCAGTCCCGGAGCGACCGAAATATGGCTGTAACCGGGAAGTGACCTGCGAGAGGAGCCTCCCCCCAACAGCACCGGGCATGTATGTACCAATGTGTGTGTGTGTGTGTGTGTGTGTGGGGAGGGGGGGGGGGGGGGGGGGGGGGCGTGTGCGTGTGTGTGTGTGTGTGATGCATGTGTGCGTGTGTGTGTGATGCCTGTGTGCGTGTATGTGTGTGTATACATCTGTGTATATGATTTTGAAAAACAAGATTTTCCAATGGGACAACTTTAGGCAATATATTTCTTCTTTCAAGTAGTGAGATTTTTCTTGTCTCTTCAATAACAGACATCTTTGCGTGTACATTTTGTTTTAAAACAGGATCAAATTTACTTGATAATTACAACTATTTTTGACTTCTTTTTTTCTCAGTAATCTTTTCTGTTGTGATTCTTCTGATTGCCGTCCCATTTCTAAACTGGTTTTTCATTTATAATCTACAAGAATATGAATAATAGGTGAAAATACATATAGATAGATAGATACTTTATTGATCCCCGTAGGAGACATTCAGGTGTCCAGTAGAAGTAGAAACACATGCATTCATACAAACAAAACAAATGAATAGATAATTCTAAAAAAAGCTTAGTATTAAAATGCAAAAACACTTTAGGTCACAGCAGCAGAGGTGGACCATCCACTGCAGGGTGGAGCAGGACGGGTCACAGCAGCAGAGGTGGTGTATATTGTCACTCGGTGAATATTGTCCAGAGTATTCGGTTTTTGGGAATAATAAGTTGAATATCTTAAAGGGACACTGCGTAGTTATCAGTGGCGGTTCTGAGACCGTCCATGTTGTTTGCTGAGTGGAGTGAGGTGGAGGGGCATAGACTGTATAGAGATAGACAATGCTAACCCATTACATCAATGAAGCCCAATAGGGAAGTGCTCATGGACTCTGGCTCCTCTTGACTTATGTAAACTCCTCTAGCTCAGTAACCGTTTGTGTCACACTCACCATTTTGGGTTTGAAAAAAATATATGATCCTGATGGTTGTATTGTGACATTCTCTGGTCTCACTCTCTCCCCCTCTGTCTCTCTCTCCAGTATCTCTCGCTGGTCTCTCTTTCTGATCTCTCTGGGCTCTCCCTCCAGTCGCTCTCTGGTCTCTCTCCCTTCAGTCCCTCTCTTGTGTTTCTCTGGTCTCTCTATGGTCTCTCATCTCTCCCTGGTCTTTTCCTGGACTCTCTCCAGTCTCTCTGCTCACTGGTTTTTAAAGAAAAAACTTTGTAAGCTTTCGTGTGAATTAACTAAAACGTTACAACAAAATAGTGATATGAGAATCGCATCAGGTAAAAGTGTTTTGATGAGTACTGTCTGTGCCGCTAGATCATGTATCTTCAGCCTTGTGTAGCAAATTGTTTTCATTCCAAGCGAGAAATGTGTTTGTCTTCTTACATTTTCAAGAAAAACGGGTCTTAAATGTTTTTTCCCTCGGCAAACCTGCTCGAACAGTGACCATGTTTCAAATGAAGTTACAACAACTTGATTGAGTAATAAAAAAATCTGTTTTTGCCAAAATTGTTCTGCTCTAATAATGGACAGATCAGAGAATCAACAGTTCAATTAAACACAGGAATGGCAATAATAACAAAAACATATGACCATTGGTCCATAGTGAGCAGGATGACCACTGTCCAGACATATTGACAAATGTGCAGAAATGTCCCAGATCCCAGGGTTCAGGGGTCCCATCATCACACCATGATGGTCATGTCTCTTTTCTTGTCCCCTATGTGTTTCTGTGTGTGTGTGTCATCTGCATATGTTTTCATATGCAGATTGTGTGTGTGTGTGTCTCACATCTCTTCCCCTTGTTCCTCACAGATCCCTGTTTCCTGCAGCGAGTGGGAACTGATCATGTTTAAGAATCGTCTGCGGATGTTTTTCAACGAGCTCAAAGTGCTGCTGCTGATGCGCTCGGGCTCCAGGTCATACACACACACACACACACACACACATGCACACACACAATCTGTATAAGACAAGACATTATAATTATAATGACAATGATAATAATCACTTTTATCACTTTTGATCGGCAATTATATTCTCTGGTCTTTCTCTCTGGTCTTTCTCTGGCCTCTCTCTCTGGTCTCTGGCCTCTGTGGTTTCTCTCTGGTCTCTCTTTCTCTCGGTTCTCTCTCTAGCCTCTCTCTTTGGTCTCTCACTGAATGACAAGTGACAGAGTCCTCCCCTCCGTCCACAGATCCGACTCAGGAGGGGGTGGTCTGGACGTAGAGCCCGGGAACGAGGCCTCGTCTGGGGGCAGCTGTGGCTGTGCTCCCCGGTGCTCGCGCTCACACAGCCACGATGCCGAGGACTACTACGGGAACCGGCCCCAGAGCCTGGAGCTGCGGGATGGGAAGGGCCTGGACACCTCTATGGCCAGTCTGTCCGAGACCAGCATCAAGTCCCCTCAGTGTCGGATCTGCTTCCAGGGGCCTGACAAGGTAACGGGTCGAACAGTGAGACTGCAAACGGATTATGATTATAAGTGGCGCAGTGGTTAGCACTTGTGAGTCCAGATAGAGGTCAGAGAGAAAGACCAGTGTGAGACCAGAGGGAGGGCAGAGAGAGAGACCAGTAGAAGACCAAAGAGAGACCAGAGAGAAACCAGAGAATGACCAGTGAGTGGCGCAGTGGTTAGCACTTGTGGGTTCAATTCCATCTCCAGACCTTTCTGTATTTTGTATGTTCTCCATATGTTTCCTCCGGTTTCCCCTACCACTAAAAACATGTTCAATAGGTCTGACATGCGCCTCCTGTATGGTGATTTCGTTCCCATCTCTGTGTGGAGTGAGAGACATTAGAAAATCGGAATCATAAGTACTTGTGGAAAGTTTTGTTTCAGCACATCATTTGCATCTGTGACTTAGAAGTTATACCATTCTGTTACTTGCTTACTTAGTTTGGTTGGCTAATCATTTACTCTGTGTGTTTGTAATACCTTAATCCTATTTTTACATCAATTTTACCTATTTAGTCATTTTAGTTACCATTTCAACATTTGGTTTTAATTGTTACTTCCTTTACCCCCAAGCCCTACCGAATTGTAACAGAATTCCGAACTATGTTAAATGTTTATGATAATATAAATGCTGTGTATTCCTGATAAAATTGTCTATAATGGTAACATGCCTAAGTAGCCCAGACCATAGACTGTACATTTTTACGGACGTAGTGACGCCTATTTACTCCATTGAAATGTATGTGTGATCAACATGTACCTTTTGAAAATGGCCATGTGTAGCCCCTCCCACAGGAAAATGGTCAAAAATCCCTTTTACGCATTATTGTGTTATTGCGTTCATTCAAAAGTCCACAGCAGATAAACTAGGCTGGACCAAAGAAAAATACTCCCCTCAGCATTGACACATATCTGGAATGTAGTGTTGAGCCAAGACCCAACTTTTGGATCTGGTTGTAAAGCCTTTTTCGAGAGAAAAAAAGGCACCGTATGAATTCTCATTGGATAATTCTGTTTCCGGGTACACCACCACCTGCAAGGAGTCCGTTTGCAAGCATGTCAGCACACGCTCAAGGACCCTTTTGAGCCGGGACCCCCTTCTACTGGCCCAGACTCTCAACGGGGTGTTACAGTGTCTGTGTGTGTGTCCTGTAGGGGGAGCTGCTGAGCCCCTGCCGCTGTGCCGGCTCTGTCCGCTGCACTCACCAGAGCTGTTTGATTCGCTGGATCAGTGAGAGGGGATCCTGGAGCTGTGAACTGTGCCTCTTCAAGTACCACGTGCTGGCTATTAGCACCAAGAACCCACTGCAGGTATGACACCACTAGTGCTAGTACTGCAACTGCTGCTACTGCTACTACAAATAGTATTAATAATAATAATGCATTGGTTTTACGTAGCACTTTTCAGGACACTCAAATATGCTTCACATGTCATTATTCTTTCACTCCATAAACTGTGGTTGGCCCCTCCGACCACCACCAGCAATTACTACCACTACGACTACGACTACGACTACAACTACTACTAATACTACTAGTGGCCTCACTACTAATACTACTTGCGGCCTCACCTTTCTAAAAAAAAACTGATGTGTCCAGTGGCAGTGGATCTCCCTGTCTGTAATTGAGCGAGTCCAGATCGCGGCGGTGGTCCTGGGGTCTCTCTTCCTCTTCGCCAGCGTCTCGTGGCTCGTCTGGTCGTCTCTCAGTCCGTCAGCAAAGTGGCAGAGACAGGACCTACTCTTTCAGATCTGCTACGCCATGTACGGCTTCATGGACATCGTCTGCATCGGTGAGAGCGCCACTGCAATATTTATCATTATCATTGGGGTGTGCTAAAATAAAATGGCCAAACAATTTATGATGTATGTCTCCACAGTCTTTCACTCTGGTCTCACTCTGGTCTCTCTCTGGTCTCTCTCTGGACTCACTCTCTAGTCCAGACATGATCAAAATACTGCTCGGGGGTCGGGTTTGGCGCACCAAGCAATTTAATCTGGCCCATTGTTCATTTTTCATAAAAGTGTACTTATTCTGGCAATTTTTGTGCTGCTTTGACGCATCTGCAGCGCTTTTGCGACATACAGTAAATGTGTGTTCAGCTCCTGTCACATGTGAGGGCATTTGCGTGATATGATCGTTCACTTGTCAATCGCCCTCAACAACATGCAAACATGTTAAAGTGATTGTCTGGAGTTTGTCAGAAATAAGAGAGAGAGGTACATGATTTTTTAAAAACGACCCAGGCTCCCTCCCCCTTCTTTTCTGATTGGTCTACACCTACGTTTCCGTAACAATCAATCAACACTTTTAAATGTTAATCTGAGAACACATTATACATTATTAATACACATGCACGAAGGTTTTCAGAATTATCCGTTAACGTTTTCATGACAAAAATAATGTTTTAATGGAAAAAAAAAGCTTTCGCGGGAAAACCGGAAGTAGCTATTATCATTAATTGAACATTATAGGACACATTTGCAGCGGATCTGATTATGGATATAGGTTCAGTATATAAATGGGTAACTCAGCGCGGATGTTCAGAATTCTTTGTTCAGTTTTCATGTAGTTCCAGAGCCTAATGGAGGCTTGATTCGGAGGCTCCGTGAAAACAAACAACTGAGCATGTTCGCAGCTACGAGCATCAGCACTGATGATTGACAGCCCTTGGCATCACTTGATTGGTTAAAGTGGACAGCATCGTGGATTTTGAGCTATAGCTAAGAGAAGCGAAGGCGGGACTTACCTGTAGTATTAGAATTCATTAAATGACTTGTTTTTTTATCAACATTCAGGTTTATGGGTATTTTCTTTCAGAATTCCAGTGATTTGAATGGCAGCCGTCAAAGTGACTGAGTTGTAGAGTTAATACTCCATCTTCTTCGGTTTCCACCTGCAGGACTCATCATCCACGAGGGTTCGGCAGTTTTCCGGATCTTCAAACGCTGGCAGGCGGTGAACCAGCAGTGGAGGGTGTTGAACTATGAGAAATCCAAAGACTTGGGCGAGCCAAGCACTTTGAACTCAAAGAGCGGCGAGCGGGGCGCCTCTGGAGGGGACCGAGGAAACCCGGTCCGGAGGTATGCCATCAGGACTATCTTCCACCAACACTGTGGCTTCACCGTCTTGCACGTGCTGAGCCAGATCCGGGCCCGAGGACTGCACCGGCGCGGGCAGGAGGTGGTCATGAGGGTCACTACCGTATGAGAAGGACATTATAGGTTTTTAATGCACATCTGTACAAAGAACTTTGTGTGAGATTTGGAACTCTGGTCTCTCTCTGGTCTCTTTCTGGTCTCCATCTGGTGTCTCTGGTGTCTCTCTCTTCTATCTCTCTCTGGTCTTCCTTTGTGGTCTCTCTCTCTCTCTGGTCTGAACTCAGTGTGGGAGAAAAACTGTTCGAGAATGAACTCATGTTACTGGGCCGATCCACGTCCTCCTCGTCTTCAGCAGGAAATGCAATAATAACAAACACAAAGAAGCCATTGGTCCGTAGGGAGCGGGATGACCACTGTCCACAAGTGTAAATAAATGTCCTGGATCATCACTGTCCGGCTTAGACCCTCTTACATCGGCAAGGAACCACTCAAAAAACAGAAAAACTTAGGAAACCTTTGGGAGGCCCACATTGAGAGAGGGATACTCTCCCACGGACAGATAGGCTGTGGATCCAGGACTGAGGCCGAAGGAGGAGTAGGCTGTGCTTTTTCATGTTTATGTGAGACCTGCACTAATCTATGTTTACGTACTCCATCTCTGTTCAGGGCGTCAGCCTGAGCAGAGACGGCCAGACTTCCTCCAGCTCCTCTGGGGGAATACTGAGGTGTTCCCAGGCCAGCTGAGAGACAAAGTCCTCCACCATGTCCTGGGTCTTCTGTGGGGCCTCCCCCAGTAGACGTGCCCAAAACACCTCAAGGAGGCCTCCGAAACAGATGTCTCCTCTCACCACCTTAGCTGCCTTCTCTCTACATGGAGGAACAGCGGCTCTACGAAGAGCTCCAGCCGTGTGTCTGAGCTCGGATTTGGAGCTGATCCTCATCCAGCCGCTTCACACTCGGCTCAAACCGTTCCAGTGCAGGTTTGATGAAACCAACCAACCGGACTACATCGTCCGGAAAAAGCAGAGATGAATCCTGTGGCCCCCAAATCAGACTCTCTCTGTCCATAAAAAAAAAAGTAAACAGGAGCGGTGACAAAGGGCAGCGTTGGGGGACACTGGGAACATGGCTCGGGTCTTGTATGGATAGGGGAGAGTACCGAGGTCAAAACATCGACTTAAGTCAAATCTAAATGGTCATAATCTAGTATCTTCGATCAGCACAATATCCCTAACCGCTGCATTTTGAACCCAACATCCTGAGTTCATTCTCAACAAAAAGATTAAAAAGATGTGAAACAATATGATTTTCTACAAAGGTCTAGATCACTGCCATCACACTGTTCACGCTCCGATCAGCAAACATTCAAATGACTTGAATTCAGAAGCATCTTGAATCATGCCCATGTGCCAAGTCCAATGGTTTCTCACTTATTACAGTATTTACTTTTGGTTTCCGGAACATTTTGTACTTGACGTTAGAACCCTCATCAAAGGTGTGTGAAAGCCACAAACACTGCAGCCTTTCAGACATTTTGCTTTGCTCATCCCATAGACTGTATACAGATGGACAATGCTAACCTGCTCGCTCTATGAAGCCCAATAATTAAGGAAGAGCTCATGGAGGAAAATGGCTCCATCTTGCTCTGGCTCCTATTGCCTTACATACAACTCCTCATTTTGAGTTTAAAATATCCATGGATTAACATTCTCTATGATCCTGGTCTTTTATTTGATTGGCTCTTGAGTTGCTGGGTGCCTGATATCTGATCTTTTAGCTCCAGATTACTGCCCCTGGAGCCTGTTTCAGTTGGTTTTCTGGTCTGAAAGGGTTGCAAAAGATGGTTCTGTGCTCCGCTCTTCTATATTTATTAACTACAACCGCCGTAGATCACTAGTATTTATTTGTTGACATATTTAATCTCATTATTGATCTAAAACGACTTCTGAACGCGTTTTCAAAGCTGTGCACGTGCCCCAAAATCCACGCATGTGCTGAGGACGGAACCTCGAAACGTCTCCTTCCGGCTTTTACGGCTCAGAAATGTGAAAATACATCAATTAAATAAGCATCAAAACTTGTTTCCAATGTACCCAGTCATGTTTTTGTTTGGGGCTCCATGCATTTAGAAGTAGTCCACATGAGCCCTGTTCCCACCAGCCCTACTTGGCCCTACGCTACGCTACTCAACATTCCCATACTGATTTGTTGTGGGTAGGTTGCTAGGATACGGTACGACATACTAAAGTGTAATGGAAACAGTAGGTCTGGTGAAAACAGGACTAGTCACATAAAGATGAATGATGGCAAATGGTATGTCTGAAAAAGTGCTGTGTAGAATTGCCAAATGTTTTCCTTTAAAAAAATGTTTAAAAAATTGTAATGGTCTGGTTGGAGGAATTGTATTAAAGCGGTGATAAAATGCATGTAATATTGCTTTTTTGGATTGATTTTAAATATGTGCCTGTTCTCAGAGCAAAAACAGTATTTAACTTACTGGTGATGAAATGGTAAAGTAGTTTTAAAAAATTCTCTGCCCCGGGTCTCCAAGATGTCTGCCCGTTCCATGCGCGCTCGTCATGCAGTGGGTGCACAGTGGTTCTACTTCCTCACAACCAGCTGACCAATGAGAGCGAGAGCAGGATAATAAAGAGCATGTGGCACTAAAGCGTGGATTTATAGATTACCGACAGATTTCAAAAGAAAAAATAAACATTTCATAGTGACAAAGCTGTAGGTTCCTGTCAGCTGAGGACGAGCCGTTAGTGAACACTGAGGTCTATGGGGAAATCTCCTTAAATCCACAACCCATGTGGATTTAAGCTGCAGTACCTCGGGTGGCCTCTTGTCCAAGTGGAGACAGGTTTAAGCAGCAATACCCTCCACATAATATCATACATCCCTTGGATAAGCATGGAGATGGTTAAGGTGAGAAACCCTCCATGTGGTTTGAGAAGGGGAACCTTACACCATGCTCTATTTTGAGACAAAACATTGGTGGAACATAATTAAAGCTGGGGTACGTAACTTTTTAGATTCATGACTAAAACATGTTTGTCCCAACAGAAAGAGTTTGGTAACAGTTAAATCAGACCACAACATACTGTCTTCATCTTATCAGAGCTTTTCAGTCTAAAAAGATGATCCAATGATGTGACAGAGGCAGAAACACATGCATGTGAAAACTATTGATTCATTTTTACAACATTCTGTTCTTGTGTAAAGTCCGGTACCCCAGCTTTAAATGATGGATTTATGACTCAATGACTGTAAGTTCACTTAACAAAAAGATCTGTTATTTTTATAGATCCATGGTTTAAGCATTTGGTTCTTTGTCCCTGAATCCGGACCTGGTCTTCACTTTGACTTGACTCTTGATGGTGGACTGTGGTCTGTGCACACGCCATAATAAAGGGACTGTGTCCCTGGACGTTGTGCCGGTGGAGGCAGCTGGATGTCTTTTAAAAATGGACTACATACATTTTGATTGATTCTTGTTTTTTTACATTTACTCTCTGTATACATCCTTTTTATTTATTCACAACAAACCGTAATAAAGTGATTAATCTCACTGTGTTTGGTCTTTTTGCTCAAAGCATAAGCAGCGATGGAATCATAGTGACTGTAGGTTATTTCACTGCTTAAAGAACACATATGCATTGATTCATCGAGTTTTAGAATGTGATAATAATGTGGTATTTGCTGCCATCTCCTGGTTGTTTGTAACACTGCAGCTGTTAATATGTAGTTCTTGCTCTGACTGGTTTCACACATGAAAGACTCGAGGCTGATTCTGTTTTCTGATTGGATTATCAGCTTGAGACCACATCAGAATTAATACACACACACATATATGTGTGTGATAGAAATATATAAAAATATAGCATAATTATGACTGTTGCTGTTTTGTAGGTATAGCGCAATTACTGTTATTACTGACATTATGTCTGCAACTAATACTACACAAGTTGTCTGTAGGTATAAAACTATTAGATCAACTGTTCTGCTCCACCCACAACAACAAAATCTTTTGTCCTACAGGGATGAGGAGCAGCCAGAGGAGCGAGGAACAGAAATGAAAGGACAGCCACAGCCATTGGGAGAGGCCAGGCTAGAGTGAGAAGAGCAGGACCTGGACCTCTCAGAGAAGACAGACAAAGGGTTGCTCAGCTGTCGTGCTGCCAGAAAAGCAGAGCTGCAGGTAGGTGGTACGGTACAGGAAATAGACGGGTTATCCCATCCTGTTATGTGTGGAGGAGAAGAAAAAAATACTCTGACCCATGTAAGGTTTATGTTGTTTATAAAGAAGCCCCCTTTTGCCCATGACCACATCAGAAATACATTTTACTTTACTATGTTTTGGAAAAAATATGTATATGTATATTTTGACATATAAAAAATAAATGTATTGTGTCCATCTTTGCTGTAAGCCTCTGTTTAGGGACTTTGTATCTGGTCCTACAAAAAGAAGGAAAAATACAATTAAATCATAAGACTTTTTTCTATATATATTATAATCATCATACCTGTATGCATGCTTGCTGGTTTATAAGGTCACTCTCGACAACCACTCGATATGGTTTTGGGACAATGGGAATGGTGGCTGCTGCCTCTTCTTTCAAATTATCTTCAAGATCTTCTTCTTTTATCCCAACGCAAGGAAGTTTGTCGACCATATTCTGCGATGCACTGCGGTTTTACGAGCCAAATTCATTTTATACATTTAGTGAGTGAAAAGTGAAAGATAGGGAAAATTACTATAAGATATATTTTTTATATAAAACATACTGTAATGAGATTGGTGGCACATAATCTGAATCATACGGGTCTAGAGCTCCATCTTCTTCAATCTTTATTCTGGAAGTCAAAAAAGTCATCCTTCAGCTCCATTCATTTGCTGCTACACAAAAAAGTTTACATCAAATGATAAAAGCCATGCTTGTTTACCTTTTCTCCAACGATTGTAACCCTTGATCTGCTGCCAAAGATTCAACTCTTGCAATCTGTAAGCCATCCCTGTAGCACAAAAGATTTTTTTGTTGTGGGTGGATTGGGGGCTAGGGAAAATTACTATTTTATATATTTTTTATTAGGGCCTGGACTTTAACG